CTGCAGCAGCGTGGTCAGCTGCGTCTTGCTTACGTGGCCTCCCAGGCCAACACTGCTGATATCTTCACCAAGGCACTTCAGCCTTGTGATCATCAGCGCTTCTGTACTATGCTAGGTCTTGTGCCTACTTTGCCTCACTTGCTTACCTCTTGACTTTACCTGTACTGTGATCTATATATACCTGCACTTGCTTGTTTACCTTTTATGTATAATCCTGCATGTGAACTGGCCTTGTGGCCTTTGAACCTGTGCTCGGAATGTGTGGTGACGTTGTGATCCACCCTGAGCTTGCTTTGATTTGCTTTGCTTGACTGGTCTTGTGACCCCTTGTTCTCCCCCACTTTGCCTATGGGGGTGTGTCGAACATTAATCACATAGCCTGTTTAGGCCGTAGTGGGGTAGACACTATGGGGTACAGTCTCTTAGGGTTTCATATTTGTACCCAACTCATTTTCTATTCCATCATTCATTCCTCAATTCTCACATGCCCATACCACCCGAGGTCTACGCCAACCTTGCACATACCTTGGAAGGTCCCAACACTTGGTATCTTGACAGTTGTTGCGGGCAGCATATGTGTTCATCAGAAAATCGCTTCGTCATCAATCAACGTCGTCTTCTGAATCCGTGCGTTGTAACCGTCGCCAACAATCAACGTCTTACAGCACACTGGATGGGTATCATCATTCTTGATTCTGTTGAAGAAGACTTCAGTCTTCATCTTAACGATGTACTCCTCGTTCCTCGACTTGGATTCAATCTGATGTCATCAGCACAGCTCATGAGAAATGGTATTACACTTCTTGGTGAACCGGGCAAGTTTACCTTAAAGTATGGAGACAGGAAACTCGGCACGACGATTGAACAGAACGGTGTGTTTGTTCTCAACTTCGTACCTGAACGCACCACTGCCGACTCCGAGAATATTCTCTCTCTTGGCCCATGGGAACATCGTGACGACATCGATTACACCGATGATACTGTTCCTCGTGACGGAGTTGTACCCACATCTTCAACCACGGCTGCCGCTGTCATGCTGACCTTCGACAACCAAGGCTTAAACGACGTCCAAAACTCCCGAGATTATCTTGCTCACGTTGCTGGTTGGGGAGATACGATGACTATGCCCACGGGTGAAGGCACAGGAACCTGACGAGACTACTTGGGGAGAAACACCTGCTGATCGTGACCAACGTCTTCTCACAGAAGCAGAGCAGCGTGTCGCTGACATGGAAGTCCTCAACTCCGGACGACTTGTCGGTGTTGAACCTAAACCTGCAGCATCAGATCAAGAGAGCGGGGAGTTAGTTCTTTCACCGGGCGAATCCATCGACGTTGAAATCAAAATTCCACCACCTAACCTTACCAGGTTTATCCCGCCTGTCACAGATCATGTTCACGCTGACGGTCATCGGTTGCTGTTGTCTTTCTTTGCTAACGCCGACTATTATCTGCGCGCACAAGGACACAAAGCAACTGCAGACATCAGGCATAAGCGTCTTGGTCATCCGTCGCAGTCTACGCTCAACAACACAATCAAAGCAGCTGTTCTTGACAAGAATTCTCTTCTCTTACCTAGCGGCCTCGAAATGAAACTGGTTAACCGTCCATCACCCTGCTTGATCTGCCCAGCAGCAAATCTACCGCACGAACCGTACCCGACTCATTTTCCTGGCGCTGAGGATTATCGCTTGATGGAAAATAGTTTACAGCGATATTCTAAACTTACCTGCAGAAGGTTTCAACGGCGAGAAATATGTTATCACGTTTACTGAAGCTTCTACTCGATACGTCTGGACTGGTAACATGACTAATCGTTTTCTTGCTTTCACAGCGTTTCAGACATGGCTACCTCTCGCAGAACGTGAGTCCGACACCAAACTCAAAAGCTTCCAGTGTGACGGAGCTGGAGAATATCGCAGCCTCGAGTTCACAGCGTACCTGCAAGAACGAGGCATACGGCGCCTGTTGTCACTTCCTCACGCTCACCAGCAGAGCGGTGTAGCTGAACGCCTCAATCGTACCTTGCAAGAAAAGATGCGAGCACTCCTCGCACAGTCTCAACTCGGCCCACTCTACTGGCCCTTCGCGATGGACCACGCAACGCTGTTACATAACCTCCTGTCTTCATCGGCTTTACCAAACAACGCATCACCTCACTTGTTGTGGACAGGAAAGTTGGGCACCACGAAACTTCTTCGAGTTTTTGGGTGTGTTGTGCAATATCGTCCTCCCACCGCTCCGCTCGGAAATTTCGATCAACGTGCTAAGTGGGGCCTTCATCTCGGCCTTGAGAAACAGTTTTCTGCATGGCGTATTCTGGATTATCGCAATCGACTTTTAATTCCTGCCCGCGACTGTATTTTCTACGAAAATCCGACCCTTCCTGTCTTGGAACAGTACCTCGCCACGCAGCGTGACCCTGCTACACTTTTCCACGGTGTTCGATCATTCGCCAGTGCTGACGCCGAACTCGCTGCCAGCGAAGAACCTGACATTGACGGTGCACGTGAACCCCCTCCTGATCCACCTATTCCAACCACGTCTTCCGGCTTTCCGGAATTCATTCCACTCGTCGACGCTCATCCCAACGACGTTCATGAAGTTCATCATACTTACCTGGTGGACGATCAACGACGTCCCATGCCAGCTGTAACTGACAGCAGCATCCGCGTCGATCCTGACGAAATTGGGGGGGCAAATGGTGAACAGTGTGAATCTTTCAATTTCGCAGGACGGACCGACGACAGTCCTAATTATCACACTGGGCTTCAGATACTGGGACTCGCAGCAGCAGTACAGCATAATTCTTCAGAAGTCGCAGAACCAAAAACTGCCCGACAGGCCCTTTCAGGACCACATCGCGAAAAATGGCGTGAAGCCATGGATCGTGAACTGGCTGCCCTGGAAAAACGGGAGACTTGGGATCTCATACCCATTGAAAAGGCTACAAATAAAAATATTCTTACCGGAAAATGGGTTTTCAGTGTGAAGACGAAAGCTGACGGCTCTTATGAAAAACATAAGGCAAGGTGGGTTGTTCGTGGTTTTGACCAAACTCACGGGGTAGACTACACGCTAACCTTCGCCCCAGTCAGTCGACACACAAGTGTTCGTCTTGTCATCTGCAAAGCAGCTGCGAAGAACTTTCCGCTTCGACAAATTGACGTCTCCAATGCTTTTCTATACGCTGACGTCGATGCTGAAATCTACGTCGAATATCCACATACCTATCCGACAAATCCGCCAAGTGTCTGCAAACTCAAGAAATCACTGTACGGCATCAAACAAGCTCCGCGACTGTGGCAGCAGCATTTGAACAGGAAACTCACAGAGGTTGGGTTCCGACAACTGCCGCATGACCCCGGAATGTATCGACTAGACGACAAGGGGAGCTATGCGCTACTTGTGGCTTACGTGGATGATATTCTCTACGTAAGTTCTTCAACCTCCTTGGGTGATCGCATCGAAGCAGATCTGAAGAAGTCCCTCGATTTAACTGTCTCCACCGAAGTAACCCAATTTCTTGGGTTAAACATTTCGCGAACTTCCTCCGCCATTCACCTTACAGCATCGAAGTATGCTGAGTCACTCGCTAAGCGTTTCAAGATTCCTACAAGTTACGTCGCTACACCGTTCCGGTCTACACCCACCGGGTACATCATAAACAACACCAAACTTTCGGCAACTGGTTTACAACTGTACCAGCAGCAACTCGGATGTCTTCTCTTCGCATCAGTCACGTGCCGTCCCGACCTTGCTTACGTCGCAAGCTATCTCGCACAATTTTTACGCTGCCCAAAAGAAGAACATCACCTCGATCTTCAGCGCGCTCTACACTACTTTGTCGCAACACCCACAGTCGGGCTGATTTTCAGCACAGGAAAACCGACCGACAAAATGTATCTCAGCGGATATGTCGACGCGGACCACGTTGGTGACACGTCAGATCGCCGGTCACGAACAGGCTACATTTTCCGTCTCGAGCCCATTGGTCCAATCTCATGGAACTCATCAAAACAGGAACTCGTGTCACTTTCCTCGGCTGAAGCAGAATTCATTGCCGCGTGTGCTGCAACTCGAGAAGGACTATACTTACAGGAACTGCTCGACGAAGCGAAGTTCGTCACGCCAATTCAGTTTGCGTTGCAGTGCGACAACCAGAGTGCGATTACCATCGCCAACAAACCCGGCTTCGTCAATCGCACGAAACATATTTCACTACGTTACTTCTTCGTCAAAGATGCGATCGACAAAGGGAGAATGCGCCTTGTCTACTGTCCCACTGGTGACATGGCAGCTGACTCACTTACCAAGAAGCTGACGCGACAGAAATTCCACCACTGCAACCAGCTCAGCGGAATTTCCGAGACAACCGGATAACTATACCGAACCCCTAGAAGTGAAGGGGAGTGTTGAGATAATATCGAGACTTAAGCACTTGAAGGAATTCGTGTAGTACTGTAAAGTACCGATAGGCTGACGTCAGCAAAGCGCTACGCGCCATAGGATGACGTCAGCACGTAGCTATAGACCTCGCGAAAAGTTACGTACCGTTTCAGAACAAGAAAAGCACAGTACAGTAGGCGAATAGGTACTTTACTCTAGTTATATATTTTGTATGTTAGTCATTTTATAATATACCTGATTTCAGAGACATAGATCCTGAAACGTATCACTACATGAGCTTTACATATTAGGCTCAGACAAAGCCTCCTACACTGGCTTTAATTCATACAAAGACTTCCGCTACGACAAGAAGCTACCATCCTTAGTACGATCCTATTCAATCACTTCAAATTCTAACATCTCAAACCACCCCAAAGTTGGTACCCTACCGTGCCCCTGCAACACAGCTGTCACACCTTCTGCGGAGCACAGAAACAATATGTATCACCTCCATAGTGGAGCTGTTGTTGTTGGGGATGTTCTTACCCCTCCACCTCTTGAAAAAAAAAAACCATGTTACAGCGAGCTGCACGTAACCATAGAAGACGTGGTCAGCTGCTGACTGCTCTCAAAGGCTCGGGCTGAGGTTCTCCAACAGCTGTCCATCCTTCGTGCAGCGAGTCTGGCTTCCCAGCTCCGCCCGTTCGTTTATCCAGCAGCATGCCATCTCCCTGCTGCACCGCTCCAGGACTGTTTGTGGCAGTTCTTGTGAACTCCTCGTTTTGTGCATGCGACTCATTACTGGAAGAGCTCGTTAGAAGCAATCCCAGGTAAGCAACATTCTTGATTCCACTCTCCTCCCCAGGAGCTTCTTTATTGTCCCATTGTAACTCGTCCGCTCCTGTCTTAAAATCCCCTGTCGCCATCTCCTCTTTTGCAATCATGCACGGACCTGTGGCTGATGCTGATGTAGCTTCCTGTTCACGGTGCGACACCTGTTTCGGCGTGCAGAATAGCGAAGGAAGCAGAACACAATACAATGTGAATCCTACAGTAATACTTATTACTTCCCACATGCTTATCCTGCGACATCCCACATCACGCACTTGTAGAAACCTTGGGAAACAGAATTTCACAAAACTCACCTCGGTCTTTAAGGTGTGCGGGAGCCAACTCATCCCTTCATCCAACCAGCTGACGTCAGCAACCTCGTCTTTGCGCAGGCTGCGCCGTTTGCAGCCTGTCTGCAGAACTCCTGACGCAAGCGCAGCAGCGTTTGCCATCAGCAGCAATTCTTCTCCCTGAATATCACATTTACAATCCGACAAGCCAGGCGCACGACAGTTGGTGTGGTTGCCGTGGATGTGGTCGCGTGTGCTGCAGCTGGGTAAGGGGCGCTGAGTCCAGTCGCGTGCGAGTATCAAATCAAGCGCATGTGATGGCTCTGCGCATGGGAGAAGCGGGGGGTCGGAAAAAAGTGGGGCAGGGAAGGGAGTTGGTGGGAACGGGCAAGAAAAAATTATGAGAGGAGCGATTTATGGAGAAAAAAAAAGTGGGTGTAAGGCAGGTTGTAAGCAGCGGGTTACTAGGCAGGAAAAATATGGAGAATCTGGAAATTTATAGGTGGGTTACCTGACGTGACATTAGTAAGGGGCAAGGGAATTCAGAGGAGGAAGCATTGCGCATGCAGGGCGGACCGGAAAGCGTCTTACCTGAACTGCTGTGCGATGACGAATGCAAAAAGTCTTCCTGCTCGTTCGGTGCACGGGAACCGAGAATCACGGTGCGAGGCTCAGCGTACTGAACGGCGGGATGCGCGGCGAATTCGTCCTCTCCCCGGCTCACCTCGCTGAAGACGAGTTGTACTCCAGCCCCGATACAAGAAGCGCGCATGGATTCGATACGGCGCGAGAGCGAGCAGCCTATAACGAAGACGACGATGACCAAAGCGATCCAGCAGAGCTCCAAACACGTCTGCAAAGAACACGAGATAATGCGTGTCGGCGCGGGCAGAGGCGGGTCAGGGAATGGCGGAGGGGGTGGGGGAAGAGGAGAGGGTGGGTCGAGGGAATTTGGGGGGAACGTGGGAAGCGGGGAATGCGCGCAAATTGCGGGCGTGCGGGAAAGAAGAGAGCGCAGGGAGCGGGAGGACTCTCGGTCGAGCGGGATGCTCGCACGAAGAAGATTGCATTCCGGAACAGATTCGTCGGGTTGCTACAGTACCTGTAACGATAGCCAAAGGCAGTCTTGAACGAAGGCTACCGCGCGATGCTGGCGACGATGACCTGGCGACGTCGCAGCTGCAGCTGACGAATGAAAACAGCTTGCTGCCGCTCCTGTCGCCCGGTTTTCAGGCGCTGCGACACAATAGGACTCGGCGATTGGCGCTGCTGCTGCTTGAACTGACAGCTCTTCTAGCGGTAAGGTATCGCGACTCGCACATGTCATGCTCGCATCTGCTGCTGACGTCATGCTGACTGATTCCGTCGCCAGAAGGAGTTCTGGCGGGTGCGCCGCTACTGGCGGCGGCTTATAAGGGCATGCGCAGCCTAATAGTATGGTCGCATCAGCACCGACATTGACATTGGCAGCAGTAGTAACAGTTGTCAAAATCGACATCGACATGGTACTAGGTCTTCTGTTGCTAGTAGCCGCCGGATTCCGGCTGTGCACGAGGTGACGACGCGAATCGACGAAGCTTATAGCAGGAAGCGAATCTACAATGGGCATATTAACGGAGACTGGCCTTTTCGGGCTCGACGTGAAAGAAACGCTCAGGAACTAGAATACTCGTCAGGTGCCGAATTACGCTTGACGTGGAGCTGGAGAGAGAAATAAGGCGACGATGCACCAAGGAGTTCCGTGCAGGAGAGGAGACGAGGAAGAAGTGATCGAACGGACGCAATTGGCAAGCTGACGTAACGGATGTGAAGTGGCAAGAGTAAAAGTGGACGGGATTTAGCAAGGAACAAGGGAAAGCAAAGAAGAGGGAAGTGAAGGAAATTGATCAGCAATGCAGGCAAGGCGAGAGACAGGGGGAATGGGGGGGAAGGAAACCAACCAGCACAACTCGTGTGAGGCACAATTATACTTGTTCACCTTCGGTGCTGCCCGCAACCTGCAATAATGATGCTGCCCGCAAGACGCACAAATCGTTCTGACCCTCCCTAAACTATTACCACAACGCACCGCACCCGCGTCACCTCAACTCTTCTAAAAGTACGCCAGCGGTCAGTCGATTCCCATGAAGATTTCATCATTTGTCCAAGCCCATTTGGTTTGGGTGCTGATTCTGCAAACGCCTCATTGGCCCAATGAACCGGTTTATTGGCCAGCGAAGGTTAGCGAAACCTGGGGAATCACCGAGCTAGTTTTGTAGTGTGGTTGACCACTGATGAAAGCGATGTCTAGCTCTACTCTTTTCGACGAAGCAAGAAGGCTACGAAATGCCATCGCGAAAGAATCCCGCCAATCAGCTGCCAGTAGACCAAAGCGGAGTGCAGCATGGATGAATCTTCATTCGGCGGGCAGCGGTGACAAAAACCTTCTGGTCACGTCGCAAAGACACCTCTGGTGGGGGTCAGCCAGTCACATCATGACGAGTCACATCGAGTGACATAGCGCGCCCCGTGAAGACAGGGGTTGACCCAATCAGAAGGGTCAATATATAGGCGGTCACAAACAGGGGCTTGTTATCACAGAAAGTTACGCTGCTATCGCGAACGGGCATACAATCTAGCTATCTATCACAAATGGTCACAAAATCTGGGATTCTATCACGGATAGTCACACGCTGTCCCAAAAACGTATCACGTTTCGTCACGAGTCGAAACGCGCGGTGTACAAGCTGTAACGGCCTTAAACTGCTGAGATTTATGGACATTTAACAGGTGACTAGTCTTGTCATATATGCGTAGTCTAGTTAATTCCGTAGCGAGTCGTGGAGGCGAAAGTTACAAGAACTTGCATGCAAATTGAAAAATCACCAAAAAAAAAAACAAAAAAAAACTAAAACCCACTCGGATGGCATGCCATCCGAGAGGGCATCAACACTAAACACCTGACGACAAGGTGTTTAGGGTTGATACCGAAAGTCCAAAGGTACGATTTTTTTTTTTTTGCGGACGGTTATAATTCTGCAATTTTTTTTGATTATGCTGTTTTTAGGCTTCCATTCGCGACTCGCTGCGGATGTAAATCTGCTGCGGGAAAAAGACAATTGTTTCCTGCTTTGAACGAGTTTGCGAAAGTGATCGCGAGCTTATTTCGGAGGTAACATTTTTTTCGCGCGTGATATACCTTTCCCCGAATCTCTACAGTCACTCGTGTAATTTCATCATTCCATAGAGCGTTTCATTGTGTGACCAAACGTGATAGAGTCGTGCGTGGGGCAACGTTGTGACTACCCGTGATAGAACTCCAGATTTTGTGACCGTCCGTGATAGAATCCTAGATTCTGTGTCCGTTTGCGATAGCCGGACGACCATTCGTGATATAGATCCAGTTTTTGTGACTATCTATATATGTTCCCCAAATGGAAGGTTCGAGCTATAAAACCGGCAGCCTCGGGCTGCGGGAAGGTTGCCACCGCAAAAGTTGTTCCGCCTCAGAAAGAGTGATCCCGTCCCGTCGGATCCGCTAGAGAGACGGTTGTTTGGAGGAGGATGTGCCAGGTAGGCAAGTTTGATTACAGACTTGGGGTCAAAGAGTTCTGGATGTCACTGGCGGTCCCTCAAGTCAACTCACTGATAATTCCACCTGTTAGATTGTGAGTGTGATGTGTAAATTCCCCCATGTGTTACTTCATTAGTGATATAAGCGTTCTATTCACCAACATTTGCAATAGATAGTGTGATGTTTCTGTTGAGGGTTGTTTAGGACTGAAATACAACTTTTAAAAAAAATATACCAAATTAACAGAAAATAAATGTTTTTTTAACAAAAAATGTTACTTGTCTGAAATATTTATGTTATAATACGTTGTAAGTATTTAATATGACTAGTATTGTATTAGGACCAAGGTCATGTGCGGGAACGCAATTCTTGTGTTCCTCCAGTTCCCTGTGTGTTTTCGAATCCAGTGACATCCATGGCGCCACGCTACTTCCCTCCTGTCGTGGCCAATTTCACGCCACGAGTCCCGCTGCCAAATGAAGCTCTTGCATTCCTTGCAACATTCCGTCCAAGACTTACTTTACAGTCGAGTCAAATGGTCACCCAAGGCTTTGGCAAGGCTTGGCATGGCAGTCATCACACGCTACCCCCACGTCACCTCTCTCCGCGTGCACTGCTTCAACTCGCGCCACGCGCACCACGCGCGCTACGGAAAGCATTCGCCTCGCACAGGCTGCTCGTGAGCTCCGCCTGAACTGCTCCATTTGAAACCCGGGAATGACGGCGAGTTTGTTTCGGTAAGTAACTTTAGCAACACCATGAGTTTTATCCCGCTCCGAGTCCCACCGCCTTGTCGACCTCTCCCTCCCGCACTCGCCGCCGTCACTTCCGCTGTCTACGCCACGCTGCACAGTTCCTCGCATTCCGCTCGCATTTCCGGGAATAACGGAAGCCGTTTTCTGCCCAGTCGATCTCCACGTCGGCAGATTTATTCACGCGGTCCACGTCAATTGTCGCTAGTCACAGCTAATACGCCCAAACGGTTACAGAAAGTAACGGTCGTCATTCTCAAGGTTGCAGCTGTAGCGCCTCGCGTCACGTCCCGACCAATCGCATCGAACCTCCTCCCCGGAAATCCCGCTCTCAAAAGCACCCAGTCCACATCACGCGCAGTCAGCACCTTCGCAGCAACTTCCAGCTCATCCCCAGCTACCAGTAGCAGCACGAATAGCACAAAAATAGAATCAGATCTCACCTCGGCGGAAGCTGCGGCGGGGATGGCGGCGGCGGCGGGGGACGCAAAGGGTCGCGGCGAGGGGATCGCGATCGTGTGGCTGCGCAGCGATCTGCGCGTGCACGACAGCGAGGCGCTGCTGCGCGCGTGGCAGGCGGCGGCGATCGCGGTGCCCGTGTACTGCTTCGACCCGCGCTGCTTCTCCACCACGCACCACTTCGGCTTCCCGAAAATGGCAGGTGCGCGCTTAACGCAAAAACGGTGTATTCGCCGTTGGTGGGAAAGAGAAGGTGGCTGACGAGATCCTCTGGCACGGCTAGACGTGATCCCCTGGCACACAGCCCATATAAGTACTCGGGGGGGGTGATCTGTCATCCCCACTTCCGCTCCACCCCACCCTCGCGCCTCCCCATTCCTCCTCTCCTTCCTCCCCCCCACTTCCGCCCCCTGCCCCCGCCTTCCCCGTCCTCCATCTCCCCATATCCCCCCCACCATTCCCGATTCCTGCTGGAGAGCGTGGCGGGTGTGAGGCGGCGCCCTGCAGCCCTCCACTAACCCACCTAGCGCGCCTCCTGCACGGGATGGGGCTGGAGCTGGTTGTGAGAGTTTCCTTCTCTTTGCTTCTCCCTTGCACCCCTTACCAGCCCACCGAGCACGCTTCCTGTTAGAGAGCGTGGCGGACATGAGGCAGGGCTTGCGGGGGATGGGGTCGGAGCTGGTCGTGAGGGTGGGGCCGCCTGAAACCGTGCTGCCCGAGCTGGTGGCGGCTCTCAACGCGCATCTGGTGGGCACATCAATGTGTTGTGGCTGGGTGTGTGTCGTCGTAGTGTGCAGTGCAGTAGCACGTGCGATGCGATGTGGGGGGCATGCGGCATGCGCCATATGCCAAATGTCATGTGCCATGTGCTATATGTGTGGCGTGCTGCTGCATGCATAGTCCGGTCCTTGTGCTCTGTGTTCATTCGTTTATGAGGTTAAGCAGTTGGGTTGCCTCCTTCTGGGCGAAGATGAACATACTTCAACTCGTCTTCTGGGTTGCCTTCCCTTCCGGGGAGTTTCCAGGTGGTGGCTCGGGCGGAAACAACAGACGAGGAGCTCAGGGTGGAGAGGAACCTCAAGCATGCGCTAAACAATGTGACTATAACGAGGGCCACAGGAGGCCCAATAACAGCTCAAGAACGGCCCGCAGCAGATACTGCCAACGGTCGCCGCCCGAAGCTGGACCTGATATGGGGGCTGACCATGTACCACGTGGATGATCTGCCGTTCGCTCCTGCTGCCCTGCCTGACGTCTACACTCATTTCCGGAAGGTGAGTCTGTCTGTAAAGGGGGTGGATACTGTAGCATTGTGAATACACTGGTATATCAACAGGCAGCTTCTCAGTAAGCCTTTCTTCTGTGGGCCGCAGCACAGCCCTGTCGTGGTGTTTTGTCTTACTGTGAAGCATTGTTTTTAGAGGCAATTCAGGCTCCCTCTGCCTTTGGAACACCGAACCAAAACCCCCAAACCATGTTCGGGAATGAAGTGCTCTCACCCTGTCCTCCTCTCCCACTCGGTTCCTACCGTTTTCCACCCTTTTCCCCTGCTCTCTCCGCAGGCTGTGGAAACCAAGGCCAAGGTCCGCCCGCCCCTCACCATGCCTGCCAGCCTCGGACCATTCCTCTCTGCCGAAGCTGTTGACAGGATCGGCGGTTTGGGCTCGCTGCCTTCTCTGGCAGACCTTGGGATTGACGACCCGCCACCACAGGTAGCTCTGCTCTGGCTGTGCCCACTCTCGTTAGTTTTTTTGAAAGGATGTGCATCGTGTGGCGCTTCCTAATTGAACCCAAGATAGTGGGGGCGCTTTTAGTGAATACGACAACCCTGAATTGATTCCATCTCCTTCCTTCCTGATTATCAACTCCCATAAACCAGGACCCAAGGGGTGTGCTGCCGTTTAGAGGTGGGGAGACAGCAGCATTGGGTCGGGTGGAGGAGTATGTGTGGCAGCGGGATTGCATTAACGAGTACAAATTGATGCATTTAGTTGTTATGCCTGTATTCTGATCACCCCCCTTCCCAATTCTCAACTCCCATGAACCAGGACCCAAGGGGTGTGCTGCCATTCAGGGGTGGGGAGACAGCAGCACTGGCTCGAGTGGAGTATGTGTGGCAGCGGGATTGCATTAAAGAGTACAAACGAGACATATTCAGCTGTTTTGAATTATTTATTGCTTGCCTTCCTGCTCCCCGTCTTCCTTGAACCAGGACCCAAGGGGCGTGCTGCCGTTCAAGGGTGGTGAAACAGCAGCATTGGGTCGGGTGGAGGAGTATGTGTGGCAGCGGGAGTGCATTAAGGAGTACAAGCTGACTCGCAATGGCATGCTGGGGGCGGATTACAGCACCAAGCTATCCCCATGGCTGGCACATGGATGTATCTCTGCTCGATACATTCATTCAGAGGTGTGTGATGTGGTGCAAAGGTGATGGTCGTGGTTCTGCAAGTTACATAAGCAGGTCAGTAATGGAGTGCTCTGCTATGCGGGGTGCAGATGTGAAGCACCAGGCTAGCTCCTTGGCTCGTATGGATGCACTTTTGCACTGTTCATCCATGCAGAGGTGTGTTTTGTGTAGAGGTGTGATGTCTTTTTGTAATTCCGTCTTTCTTGTGTCTCCCTGCGTTTGCCTGCTCCTGCGAAGCCTGGTACAACCATGTTAGCGTGGGCTGCCCCCCTCAAACACGCAGCGAATGCAATCAAATCGCATCACAGCCACCTCTCAAGCACGAAACAAATGCATGTGCGCCCCTGTCTTGCTGTGCCTGTCTTGGTGTGCTCGCCTCATCTCCACGTGCTGCGACACAAGAAGGAGCGAGTGTCAAACGATTTCACTTAGTGGATTTTACTCTCCACCCCTTTCGCCACATGCTTCATTCCGCTGCCGCACCACCCTGTGCTGTGCTGATGTCCTCACCCAACCCCAGGTGCTGTGGTACGAGAAGGAGTGAGTAGCAAACGAGGCCACATACTGGGTGTTCACTCTCACCCTTTTTCGCCACATGCTTCAATCCCCTGTGCTGCCGCACCCCCTGTGCTGCTGCGCTCACCCACCCCCAGGTGCTGCGGTACGAGAGGGAGCGAGTAGCAAACGAGTCCACATACTGGTATGTGCCATGCCATCGCCAATTATGTGCATCAATTGCTTCACGCACTGCTACTGCACTCATACCCTCCCCCTAACGCTCCACTCACACCTAACGGTTTTGTTGACTCAAAAAGTACACTGCTACTCCACTCCTACGCTCCACTTGTACCCCTTTGGAAATCATACCCCCATGAATATTAGATTCTTAAACCGTAACACCTAAAATCATACAACTGCACTTTTTTCTTCCCGGGACCATGCATGCCCCCCTTATCCCTTATGTGCCCACCCTCAACGCTGCAGGGTGTTGTTTGAGCTGATTTGGAGGGACTACTTTAGATTTCTCTCCATTAAATGCAGCAACTCCATCTTCCACTTGGGTATCTTCCCCACCCCTTAGCACCGCACTCCATCTTGTTACACTGCATTCCACAAAGTACATCTTATCCGCCAATCACATCTCTTTCCCCCGTTTCCCCTGCCTCCTCTCCACCACTCACTTCTCTCCTCGTGTCCATCCCCTTGGATCATGCCAGGTGGGCCCCGCAAGCTGCAATTCAACGGCCGAGATTGGTCCACGGACAGAGCTCTCTTTGATTCGTGGCGGGAGGGACGAACGGGGTGAGTATGTTTGCATTTATAAGAGAGTGAGTGAGTGAGTGAGTGGAAGAGAGAGAGTGTGTGTGCATACATGCGTGCATGTGAATCCTCTTCCATCCTCTTCCCTGTCTGCTGTCTGCTTCCTAGTCTACACTGACAAACACCCACCCACACATGTTCCTTCAGATCACTTGCTCAAGTGATTATCATTCCTTTTTTTTTTTTTTTTTTTTTTTTTCATTTTTTTTCCCACTACCCACTATCACACCAGGTACCCTCTGGTGGATGCCAATATGAGGGAGCTTGCAGCCACGGGTTTCATGTCCAACCGAGGCAGACAGGTGCGGTATAGGCTCGGGGCAGGCATGTATTGGACAGGTTTGGCATGCAGGTTTCTTCGCATGGGCCTTTCCTGCTTGCGTTCCTCAGCTGCACTTGCAGGTGGTACCCACTTCTTACAACTTGTGAGGCGCCTCTATTTTTTTTGTGGCACCTCATAAAAGGCACGCAGGTTTTTTTCTCACGAGCCTGCCGTGCATGGGTTACTGAGGTGCACATGCAGGTTTACTAGCCTCTTATTAGCGCGTCCTTGTCAGGAGGTTGCAGAGGTTTGTTGCTTCCCTTTCAGGTACTGTATCTCCCCCAATTCAGCAACCAGCACAACCCATGTATGCATGCATGCCCCTCATATGCCTCACCCTCTCCATGTATGCAGACAGTGTGCTCGTTCTTGGTGCATGCCCCGCCTTGTGTGAACCCAACCAACCAACCAACCAACCACCACCCATGCATTCTGTACACTGCACGGCGTTGGTGCAGATAGTGTGCTCGTTCCTGGTGCGAGACATGGGCATGGACTGGCGCATGGGGGCGGAGTGGTTCGGGCTGCATAACCCCTTGCGCTAACCCACCCAGTCACTATCCATACATCTGTACAAGTGTGCTGTGTGCCGTGTGCCACAGATAGTGTGCTCGTTCCTGGTGAGGGACATGGGCATGGACTGGCGCATGGGGGCGGAGTGTTTTGAGTCGCTCCTCCTTGACCACGACCCTGCTTCCAACTACGGCAACTGGACATACGGTTGTATTACGGTGATGGCTCTGGTATGGCGCTGGTATGGTGGTATGGTGGGACCGTGGTATGCTGGTGGGGTAACAGGGCCTAATGTGCCGCATGGGGCCTGAGTGGTTTGAGTCGCTCCTCCTTGATCACGACCCTGCTTCCAACTACGGCAACTGGACCTATGGTGCTGGTACGCTGCTGGTGTGGTGCTGGTACGGTGGTGCTGGTATGGCACTGGTACGGTGGTGCTGGTATGGTGCTGGTAGGGTGCTAGTTCAGTGGTGCCGGTATGGTATGACGCCAGTTCAGCGTTGGTATGGTGCCGGTGAGTACGACACGGTTACAATGGTGGTAAGACACGGCTATATTACTGGTAAGGTGCTCGGAGCTTTATGGCGCTGGTATGGTCTGTAGCGATGAGGTTCATGTGCTGAGGTTTATGTGATGAGGTTAATGTGCAGGGTGGTGGGGGAACTTGTCCTGTGGTGGGGTTACAGCTTATGACGCAGGTAATTCGCATTGCATGATGGGATTATGGCATGATGGCATGATGGGAAAGTGGCTTTTTGGGTGTCATAATGGCTCCGTGGGCTCTGACGTCTGCCTTTCCTGCTGTGCCCCCACCCCTTGGTACCACTGCAGGAGTGGGCAATGATCCCAGGGAGGACCGATACTTCAGCATTCCCAAGCAGGTATGTCTTTGAACATCTGTCATCCATCTCCTCACTTGGTTGGTGTGTGTTCCTCACATTATTAGTTTAATAAGGTGCACAACTTAAGCTACTCACATGCGCGTGCTTCCCTCTCTCATCCTCCGAGTGTATGCATCGCATCTCTCCTATTCCCTGGATCTATCCTGTAATGCAGGCGTCCACATATGATCCCAATGGCGACTACGTTGCTCATTGGATCCCTGAACTGGCAGCTCTCCCTCCATCCCTTCGCCACTGCCCCTACCGTCTGTCTCCCTCCGAGCGAGCTGCATACAAAGTGGATGCCGAAGGATCCACCTACCCCTTGAAGCCTGTGGTGCCATTGAAATTTGGTGGTGCTGCTGCTGGTGCACGGGATTATAGGAACGGAGGAGGCCGTGGTGGTAGAGGAACAGAGACCAGTGGCAATGCGAATGGTAGTCGCTCACGAACGGGTGGGATGCAAGGGAGGGGTGGGAGTGATTTACGAAAAGGTGGAACGGCACAATTTTAGAAGACCGAACTATTGTACAGTATCTTTGACAGTATGGTCAAATGAAGGGGCTTGGTTAATTAGTAAATGTACTCAAATCTTGTACAACATTGCCTCAGCAGTTTTTAACTTCACATGTTTGTTCCATTTCTTAGACGCAGAGACATTTATGTTCTTGACTTCCATTTTGTAACTCACACGACATAGATTAGCCAATAGTGCTTGGTATGTACAACTTTCGCGAAAGACCGTGATTCGCACAGAACAGCTCACGAATTGCGCAGATGACTCAGCCTTTCGCAGCCTGGAGTGCCAGCCAAATCCTACAGTCAGAGAGATAAGCCAATTTCAGAAATCAGGATTAGACTCGGGAAACTCACAATAGCCATTAGTCGTCAGCTTTCCGTGATTTAGTGACCCAAGCTTGATATTTTATAGTCGCGGGTATAGTTTGGCGCCAGATTACGTCTCTGACGTGTTCTCGTTTTTACTGGCTGGATGGAGTCCGGCGTTGGGCCTCCTCTCTCTGGAAAGCATGATCAGCGTGAGTCAGGAGTCGGCAATAAGGGTTCGGAAGATTCTGGTAGCGGAGGACCAAAATGGCTAAATCAAGGCGTTATAATCAAGGCGGCGTGCGTGCTTGGCAGCGCGTACATATTGAAGAGATTGATTAGTCGGGCTAGGAGGGATCACTGTCGCGAAGTTACTAATCTGTTGACCGGAGAAAAGGTAGCTTACTCGCGTACCTTTTTTTCTGCGTCGAACGTACTGAACTCAGTAGCTAACTTAAATTGATTCTATTCCCCTGCAGTTTTCAGCAGACCAAGCAGCACGCGATCCTGCTAACTTTTTCAATCTCAGGTGCCTGAACTTGTCTTGAGCTGCGTAATTGGGCGACACGGAAATCGTAGACCCGGCCGTTCCCTAATTTCCTAGTCGCTGGTTCTTTCCTTTGCTCCAGGCTTCACGTTCTTCGTCCAGTACTCATTCTTCTTCTCCCTGCCTCTTTATGCAATGCTTCGTCGTCCCAGGCTCGATTCTTGTCCTGCAGCCGTTTTGGAGGATGGCTCTCGTGTCCTTTATTGCGAGCAGGTATATTACTTAGGTAGAGGCCGAAAGCGTTTTATTCCATTTTGTGAGTGGACAAGTACGTTCTTCCTGCTTTCCTCACCCCACCCGCCTCTCCCACCGTTACCACGAGAAGATTGCTTGTCCGATTTCAATGGTCTTAATCTGACGCTTGAATAGAACTGAAAGCGGTCGACTGTTCGTTGTGTGCCCATCTGTGCAGGCCTTCTGGAGGTCACCTGAAAAGCCTTTCCGCCAGGTGCACTTCGCCCCTTTCCATTCTGTCCAGCAGTTACAAGGATGAAGTTTCATCATTCTTTGTGCTCACTCTGTCTTCATTCCTGTTATATCAGTTTCAGTCCTGATTCTTATGCCTGACTTCCTCATGCTGCAGCGCTTCTATGTTGTGAGGCCATGCTCCAAAGAAATGAAGTGTGATGCTGAGGTGAGCTACTTTGCTGAGGAATCTCAGTCAGCTAGTTTCCAACAACATTGATTGCCAAGGGCAGAGCAGCGCAAGCACCCTGTGCCTTTTTCCATTCTGTCCAGCCAATATAAACATGATGTGACGGGATTATTATCAACTTGACAATTCACTTCCAGGTGGCCAGCTATGCTCTTCGAGACGTTGAAGAGTACCGAAACTACTGTGAGCGCCCAAAAAATCAGCGGCCACAAGCAGAGGAGGTCATTGGGGTAAGCCCAGGTTTCGATGCATGCTCTTGGTTCCAGGCCCTGCTGGGACAATGTGTTGAACTGTAAGCTCAATTTGTTGTCACGACGTTAACCCCATTGTGCACCAGGATATTTCGGAGCACCTTGCCACAGTGTACCTCTCGCGATGTGAGGGAGGGCGGAAGTGTGCATATGAAGGCTCAACACCTCCAGGAGGCTTTCCAAACAACTGGGTAAGGAATAGTAGCATAAACGTTTCCGATCTGCAGACTCACAGATTCGGATTGTCAATTTTCATCTCTTCACTGTGCTCCATTCACTGGTGCAGCTGCTGGATGTGACAACAGCGAGCTCATTCATTTGTTTGTTCGATGGTTTGTTCCTGGTGTGGGATTGGGGGTGGGGGTGGGGGGAGGGAGGGGTTGACTGAGTGGGGGGATACTCTGCTGCCTTGTCTTGGCTACTCATGCAGAACGGAGCTACCCGGTGCACTTCAGAGCTTACTCTATTTCGCAGTGGAGAAGTTCACAGCTGGGACAGAGGCTACAAGGATGATGGGGTGCAGGTATGTTCGCATCTGTGTGTTATATCCATGTGCCTTTGTATTTGTCTTGTACTCAACAACCTGCACTGGTCATTGTGTCTTAACATTTCCCCTTTTGGCAGGTGTGGGGTCCTAAGTCAGCTCCGTACGAGTATAAGCCAAAGCACATGGTTAGTAGTAACTATAGGTCAAATGAAGCTGACCAGGGAAAGAAATAGGGTTGGTTGCCAAACCAGCTTGGTTATATCTATCTTCGATCAAGTCCCTCATGTACACATATTTTTGCTAGATTGTTGTGACTAGGATATTCACATGTAGAGCACTAATAGAGGTGCCGTTTAGATTTAGAAGTGATAATTTTTTCCTGAACTACAATATGCTGGCAAACTTGAGTGGTTGGGTTCGCGAACCTGTGTGATGCACTTATCGAGGTCGCCTGAATTGGGCTTTCAAACTCTGGAATTTCCTAACTGAACACAGAAATCTGAACTGTAATGTCAGTATGACGCCATGTGAAAACGCGGTACCGTTTCCCGCCAAATCTACAATTCTCCAGCATCAGGAATTTTGCCCCAGTTGCCCCTTGTGTTACCCCCGAGTGTGCGCTACCCGGAACCCTCGGACGTCAAAGTGTAACCAGGTATGGTTTTGAAGCATTGAACGCAATGTTCCGACAAAAATAAACCCTGAACGTTGAAGAATATTCCTACTTCACGATTACCTTGGGAGGACTGTGTCACTGCAAAAACTGGAACACACAAATTTTGTCAGCCTACTCGAACATTCGCTCTTTCCCGCTCGTTCAACTGTTGTCTGTGTGAAGCAAAACAAGGTGCAACGTTTGAAAGCCTGGCGTCACTGTGAAGTAACTTCGAGGTATCCTTGAAGAGTCTGTGTAGGCTGAGAATAATTTATTTCGCGACCTCGAGCAAAGTCGTGTCATAATGCTTTTGTGCATGGTCCAGCACTGTCACTCACGGAGAACGTTTATGGTTGCGTCTTGTCAGTAGACTCTAGGGTTCCAGCACTTCAGTTAGAGGAGCAAGATATATCGTGCGTTCGCGCGAGTAGCCGTGTGTGTCTTCGGGGACCTCGATTTTCTAATATTTAGGTCGCGAAAAATCCATTTCCCAATCTTTACCTTGTCAGTTCCTTTTCTGCACCACGCGAACTCATCTTTCCGCCAGCCTCTTTTTCACGTGCTCGTGCTCTCAGTCTGAACGAGCGGACAGCGAAAGGTTGTTGGTACTGTCGCGACTATCATCCATTCGTTCGGTAAGGTCCAACATTCGAAGTGCGCCGCTAAAAGATCCTATTACCTCGGTTTCAGCCTCCTTTGAAGGCTCAGATTCAATAACATTTATAACGTAAGTAATAGTTCGTCAGACTAGAGGACCCGTCCATTAGGGTTATAATCCTTCACGGGAATGCCGCCGTCGTTTCAGCAGCAGCACTCCGGCCCTTCTACGGTGCCAACCGGCACCGCTCTGAACCGAGGTCGGCCGATGAATCGGCAAAGGGACAGGCGGGAAAATCAGGAGAACGAAGGAGCTGCGCAGATGGCGAATAATCTGAAACGGCGCCGGGAGGTTAGGGTTCGTCTAAGAGGCCTTCAAGCGCAAGTTGCGGGTAAGATTTCTGCCAAGGGTTTCTAATTGTTTGGAATGGTTGAATGTTGGCATATTCTGTTACTTGTTCTATTCTCTATGTATTGACATCACATCATCACATTCTCGAACACTGACATTGGTTCTTGTTGTTACGTTCTTAGTTGCATAATGATTTCCATTAGCTTTTGCTCTTAGAATTGCACTGTTTCGGTGTAGTGGGTGGCACCAGATTCACTCGTTAATAACCCTAGTTTTTTCAGATTGGCATACAGCTGTTACTACTAGCATTCTCATTCGTCTGATACCGACATCCATTCGTCTTGTTCGTGACCTGCTTATGCATGCTTGTAACGGCTAGCATACGTCTACCTTCTTCTCTCACGAGAAGTTTCAACAAAAACAATGAAGTCAAATCGGTCAGTACCCTGACAGTGAAACAGTATCAGAAAGTCGTAAGGCTGATGTCGTATAGCATCATGTTCACCCTCTTTCTCCTCCCATCCCGCACCACCAGAGTGCTCCAACCGCAACGAGCTAAGCATCGGGTCGAGCAAGTTCGAGGAGATTTTGGAGACAGCCAACAAGCTGACAACGAACCCGGGCGTGGCCTCCGACCTGAAGCTGCGGGAGAAGCTCATGGACGCCGATGTGCTGGACGGCCTCTCGCAGGTGGCTACACTTGCAATACCTGTGATAACTACACTTGCATTATTTATATAAATTACACCTTATCTGTTTTTTTTTATGACACATATGAGAGCTACTCTTGTATTGCGCCTGTGTTTTCGATAGTAACACGTGCTGGGCGGCCCCTTGCAGGTGCTGGCGCACTCCACGGAGGCGCTGCTGCGCCGCCACGCTGCCACGCCTGAGCAGTTCGTTGCCGCGCTCAGGGCCAAGTACCTCGTCCGCGCGGGGCTGTGCGGTCATGGGGCGCGGGGGGGAGGCGCACGAGGGAACGGACGGGGGAGGGGCCGGGGAGGTGGGGAGACGCATAGTGGGGAGATGGGGGAAGGAACAGGAGAAGAGGGAGAGGAGGAGGGGGGGATGGATTGGGCGAGGATGGGGAGGGAGTTTGGTTTGGAGCTGGTGCGACCTGCTTGGACGATTGGAACCATGTGAGTCCTTAGTCTTTTTTTTCCACCCCGCCCCCCCTCTCCTCCCGGCATACCCCTCCCCCACCCCCTTCCACTCTCTCAGCATACCTCCTCCCTCCCCTGCCAATCAAACCCTTTCCTCCCCTCTTGGCCCTCCCGCTCTCCCCCCTGTCTCTCCCCAATCGCCTGGTGCGGAGCAGGCTGGGCCCAATGGAGGCGGAGGCGCCCAAGCGCAGGGCGCAGGCCGTCAGGCGCAAGAGGGACGTGGTGGGGGCCACTGTGGTTCCTACGCAGGTAAGCTGGTTACCACGTGGGTTTTGAGGCGCCCAAGCGCAGGGCGCAGGCAGTCAGGCGCAAGAGGTACGTGGTGGGGTGGGGGGACCGTGGTGCCTACACAGGTGAGCTTTGAGGCGCCTCAGTAGCGCAGGTGAGCTGGTTACCAGCTGTGGTGCTGATGTGAGCCTGCAACACCTGCGCAGATGGGGATGCGGCTCACTAGAAGGGTGTGGATGCGGGGGGAGAGAGAGGGGGGAGGGAGGGGGAAGGGTGGCGGTAGTGGCAGCAGGGAAGGGAGGCGATGTTGGAGAGGGACAGATGTATGGCTGGGTAAAGAGGGCACCACAGCACCGCGTGCACCTGCCGCAGCTCTCTCACCATCCCTTCTTCCTCATTCTCCCTCTTCCGCCACCCCCCCTATGTCCTTTCCCCCTTCTGCACCTGATTCCTTTGTACCATGTGCTTTTCAAGCAGTTGAACAAGCAGCAAGGGAAGGACGGGGGAAGGAGGACGGGGCAGCAAGGAGACAGCAACGGAGGGGACAGTGAAGGAGATGTATCGTCGGCTCAAGAGCGCGCCACGGCACTGCGTGCCCCCGCTGCTCTCTCACTGCATCCGCTGTTGATTCTCCCATTGCTGCCCCTCCCTTTGCTTCTCCATGTCTTTTACCTGGTCCCTTTGTTCCACATGCTTTCGAGCAGCTGAACAAGCAGCAAGGGAAGGAAGGCGAAGGAGCAGAGGGTGGCAGTGGCAGCAAGGAGACGGCAACGGAAGGGACAGTGAAGGAGATGTATCGCCGGCTCAAGAGGGCACCACGGCACCGCGTGCAGCTGCCACAGCTGCTGCTATCGCGCACATCCTTTGCCCACACTGTCGAGAACATGTTTGCGCTCTCATTCCTTGTGAAAGAGGGCCGCGTGGGGCTCACGCCTGATCCGACTTTTGGGGCTGCTGTTGGTGAGTTTGACTAGGTCTGGTTCTGTTCGCTTGTTGTGTTTTTTTAGTGAAAGCCCATCTCGAATTAAAGTTTCTTATCTTGAGCCAATGTTATTAATGTTATTAATGTTATGCACACATGAATAATTTCATTCCACCTGCCTGGCAGACCTTCGCCCACCCACGGAGCCCGCATCAGGCAGCGCGCAACCGAAGGGGCAGTTTATAATGCGTCTTGACATCAACGACTGGAAGGTGAGGAGGACAGGGTGGGGTGAGGGAGATGACTGTTGAGTCGACTCAAAAGGCAGCGAGCAACCGAAGGGGCAGTTTATAATGCGTCTTGACATCAACAACTGGAAGGTGAGGGGACCGGGTGGGGTGAGGGAAAAATGACTGTTGAGTCGACTCAAAAGGCAGCGCGCAACCGAAGGGGCAGTTGATAATGCGCCTTGACATCAACGACTGGAAGGTGAGGGGGAATGGAGTGATTTACACACTGTAGGAGATTTGTAGCTCTAACACTAGAGTGATTCGTCTAACACGCAGGAATCGTCTGCTCTCTTCCTGTCCCTTTGACTACATTCTTGTTGCAGAAACTGTGCCTTTTGAGTCGGCTCAAAAGTAATCACGCCTGTTTTGTCTACTCTCTTCCTGTCCCTTTGACTGCACACTTCTTCTTGCAGAAACTGTGCGAAGCAGTGCCTGATGGTGCAGAAGTGATGACTGCACGAGAGGGGGGGAGAGGGGGAGGGGGAGGCGGAGCGGGAGGGCGGGGAGGAGGAGCAGGAGCAGCAAGAGATGCAGGGGGGGCGGGAGGGGCAGGAGAGGCTGCGGGAGCAGGGGGGGCAGGAGGAGCAGGAGAAGCAGGAGAAGCAGGTGGGGCAGAGGGAACGTTGTATGAGACGCAGCAGCAGTGGCAGTCGCAGCAGGAGCAGCAGCAGCAGCAGCAGCAGGCGCCGGTTCGCAAGATTAGTCGGAATCGGGCAAGGGAGACAGAGAGCCAGGGAGGGGGAAGGGCAGGAGGGTATGGTGGGGGTATGGGGGGCGAAGGGGAGGAAGAGGAAGAGGAGGACCTTGGTGGGGGTGGCAGAGTGAGGAAGGTGAGGAGGATAGGTGACTTTTGAATTGACTCAAAAGTTAAGAGGAATGGTGATGTGCTTGGGCGTGATGTGGTAGGTTGAGGGGGCTGAGCAGGATTGGTTGCTAGTGGTGCGTTGGTGTCTGGTGATGTGCTTGGGTGATGCTGATGGATTGATGGACGAGTTTGGGCAAGTAATGGAGGGCTGATTACAGCAGCACGAGGCACCAGTTTTACTGGGGCTGGTGATGCTGATGGTGACGGTGACGGTGACGGTGGTGGTGGTGATTGGCGTTGTGCTAAAGTGGTGGTGTTGGTGCTGACATAAGGGTGTTGAGTTGAGTTTTAGCTGATTTGACTGACAGGAGTGGTGCCCCTGCTGCTGCTGCTGCTGCTTCACTGCTGGTGCTGCTAGTGGTGCCAGTGGTGCTGCTGCTGCTGGTGCTGGTGCTGGCGCCAGTGGTGGTGTTGCTGATGGTGGCGGCTGCTGCAGTACTGATGCTGCTGCGCTGAGAAAATCAACTGGCATTGGTGCTGCTGCTCCTGGTTCTGCTGGTGCTGGTGCTGCTGCTCAGTGATTGACGGGGAATCGTAGAAGGCAAATGGCAGGAGCAGCTTTAGGGGGTTGGACTGGATTAGAGGAAATAAATTTTGTGGGGGCTAGGAAGTTGGGAACACGAGCCAGAGCTTGCGGCAAGCGTAGGTGGTATCATGTGTTAAGGCTTGTTTGAAATGGCTTTTGAGTCGACTCAAAAGTGTAAGAAAACTGAACGAGAATGAATGCGTTGACAAGAAACTGGGTACAAGTACTAACCCTAATTGAGTTGTGTTAGAATTTGAAGTGATTGAGTAGGATCGTATAGGTACTTAGGATGGTAGCTTCCTGTTGTAGCGGAAGTCTTTGTATGAGTTAAAGCCAGTGTAGGAGGCTTTGTCTGAGCTTAATATAAGCCCATGTAGTGATATGTTTCAGGATCTATGTCTCTGAAATCAGATATATAATAAAATGACAAACATACAGAATATATAGCTAGAGTAAAGTACCTATTCGCATATTGTACTGTGCTATTCACGCTATTCGTGTTCTTGAAACGGTACGTGACTATTTGCGAGGCCTATAGCTACGTGCTGACGTCATCCTAGGGCGCGTAGTGCTTTGCTGACGTCAGCATATCGGTACTTTACTATTACGTGCGAAGTCTCGCACTGTACTAACTGTACTACACGAATTCCTTGAAGTGCTTAAGTCTCGATATTATCTCAACACTCCCCTTCATTTCTAGGAGTTCGGTGTAGTTACCCGGTTGCCTCAGAAACACCGCTGAGCTGATTGCAGTGGTGAAATTTCTGTCGTGTCAGTTTCTTGGTAAGTGAGTCAGCTGCCATGTCACCAGTGGGACAGTAGACAAGGCGCATTCTCCCCTTCTCGATCGCCTCCTTGACGAAAAAGTAACGCAGTGAGATGTGTTTCGTGCGATTGACGAAGCCGGGCTTGTTGGCGATGGTAATTGCACTCTTGTTGTCGCACTGCAACGTAAACTGATTCGGCGTGACGAACTTTGCTTCGTCGAGCAGTTCCTGTAAGTATAATCCTTCTCGGGTTGCAACACACGCGGCAATGAATTCTGCTTCAGCCGAGGAAAGTGACACGAGTTCCTGTTTTGATGAATTCCACGAGATTGGGCCAATTGGCTCGAGACGGAAGATGTAGCCTGTTCGTGACCGACGATCTGACGTGTCACCAGCGTGGTCGGCGTCGACATATCCGCTGAGGTACATTTTGTCAGTCGGTTTTCCTGTGTTGAAAATCAGCCCGACTGTTGGTGTTGCGACAAAGTAGTGTAGAGCGCGCTGAAGATCGAGATGGTGTTCTTCTTTTGGGCAGCGTAAAAACTGTGCGAGATAGCTTGCGGCGTAAGCAAGGTCGGGACGACATGTGACTGCTGCGACGAGAAGACACCCGAGTTGCTGCTGGTACAGTTGTAGGCCAGCTACTGAAAGTTTGGTGTTGTTTAGGTCGTGCCCGGTGGGTGTAGATCGATAAGATGTGGCGACGTAATCTGTAGGAATTTTGAAACGCTTAGCGAGTGACTCAGCATACTTCGATGCGGTGAGGTGAATGGCGGAGGAGGTTCGCGAAACGTTTAACCCAAGAAATTAGGTTACTTCGGCGGAGACAGTTAAATCGAGAGATTTCTTCAAATCTGCTTCGATGCGATCACCCAAGGAAGCCGAAGAGCTGACGTAGAGAATGTCATCCACGTATGCCATGAGCAGCGCGTAGCTCCCCTTGTCGTCTAGCCGATACATCCCGGGATCATGCGGCAGTTGTCGGAACCCAACTTCTGTAAGTTTCCTGTTCAAATGCTGCTGCCATAGTCGCGGTGCTTGTTTGATACTGTACAGTGACTTCTTGAGCTTGCAGACACTTGGCGGATTTGTCGGATAGGTGTGCGGATATTTGACATAGATTTCAGCATCGACGTCAGCGTATAGAAACGCGTTGGAAACATCAATTTGTCGAAGCGGAAAAATATTCGCAGCTACTTCGCAGATGACGAGACGAACACTTGTGTGTCGGCTGACCGGGGCAAAAGTTAGCGTGTAGTCGACCCCATGAGTTTGGTCAAAACCGCGAACAACCCACATTGCCTTATGTTTTTCGTAAGAGCCATCTGCTTTCGTCTTCACCCTAAAGACCCACTTTCCGGTAAGAATAATTTTATTTACGGCTTTCTCGATGGGTATGAGCTCCCAAGTCTCCCGTTTTTCCAGGGCAGCCAATTCACGATCCATAGCTTCACGCCATTTTTCACAATGTGGTCCTGAAAGAGCCTGTCGGGCAGTTTTCGGTTCTGCGACTTCTGTAGAATTGTGCTGTACAGCTGCTGCGAGTCCCAGTATCTGAAGCCCAATTTGATAATTAGGACTGTCTTCGGTCCGATCTGCGAAATTGACAAGTTCACTCTGTTCACCACTTGCCCCCCCAATTTCGTCAGGATCGACGCGGATGCTGCTGTCAGTTACAGCTGGCATGGGACGTCGTTGGTCGTCCACCAGGTAAGTATGATGTGTGAAAATAGAAACGAGAATGAATGACTAAGGGAAAGTTGGGTACAAATGTAAACCCTAGAAAACTGTACCCCATATGTGCTACCCCACTATAGCCTACAGTAGCTATCTCATATAAAAAAGACACACCCCCATAGGCAAAGTGGGGGAGAACAAGGGGTTACAAGACCAGTCAAGCAAAGCAAAGCAAGCTCAGGGTGGATCACAAAGTCACCACACATTCCGAGCACAAGTTCAAGGCCACAAGGCCAGTTCACATGCAGGATTACATATATATATAAGGCTAGACAAGCAAGAGCAGGTGTATATATATATGCAACAGTACAAACAAGGTCAAGGGGTGAGCAAGTGAGTCAAGGTAGGCACAAGACCCAGCTGAGTACAGAAGCGCTGATGATCACAAGGCGCAAGTGCCTTGGTGAAGATATCAGCAGTGTTGGCCTGAGAGGCCACGTACGCAAGCCGCAGCTGACCACGCTGCTGTAGCTCACGAGCAAGGAAGTAGCGGAGAGCAATGTGCTTCGTTCTGTGCTCCAGTCTCTGCTCTCGACACAAGGCCAGCATGGCCTTGTTGTCTACGTACAGCACTGGAGGAGAACGAGGCGGCTCTCCGAGGTCAGTCAGCAGGTAGGTGAGCCAGCGAAGCTCCTGTGCAGCCATGGCCCCGGCGTAGATCTCAGCCTCACAACTGGAGCCGAGAACAGAAGACGAGCGGGTAGCCCGCCACGAAACAGAGCCGGAACCAAGGCTGAAGGTGTAACCCTGTGACGACCGCTGCGTAGCCTGGTCGTCAGCCCAAGAAGCGTCTGCGTGCCCAGTGAGGACCACTGGACTCTGCCCTCCAAGCACAAGCCCCATGCCCGACGTACTGCACAAGTAACGCAACACCCTCTTCGCTGCAGCCATGTGCTCCGGTCTGTGTCTCCCAGGAGCAACATAGCGTGCGAGAATGCTAAGAGGGTATGCGAGGTCAGGTCGTGTGCAGGTCATCAGGTACATGAGGCAGCCAACAAGCTCTGGGTACGGGCCACTCGACTCTACGGACTCATCCGAAGGCAGAGCTGAGAGCGAGTGGCGAGTAGGCAGAGGAGTGGCCTGAGGCGAGGAGTACGTGAAGCCGAAGCGCTGAAGGACCTGCTGCACCATGTGTGACTGAGTCAGGGTAATGGTGCGGCGTGATCTGTCCCGGGTGATCTGCAAGCCAAGGTAGCTGCGCAGTTCACCCAGGTCTGTGCACGTGTGTCTCTTCTGCAGCTCGGACTTCACGTGGGCGAGTCCAGTAGTGTCAGCTGTGGCAAAGACCAAGTCGTCGACGTACACGAGGATGTAGAACGGCGGCAAAGAAGTGTCGGTGCGCAGAAACAGCGACGGGTCGGCAGTAGAGGGAGCAAACCCAAGAGCCGCAAGTGTAGTCCTCAGTGTGTCGTGCCACTCACGCGGTGCCTGGCGGAGACCGTAGACTGGCCGCCGGAGGCTCCACTGGGTGCCAGGAGGAAAAGACCCAGTGAAGCCAGGTGGGCGACGCAGCCAGATCTCCTCGTGCAGGCTGCCCTGCAAGAAAGCAGTGCTGAAGTCAAGAGAGTGCAGCTCGTAGTCGCGGTGAGCAGCTATGTGCAGCAGTACCCGAAGAGTGGTCATCTTCGGGGTGGGAGAGAAGGTCTGAAAGTAGTCAACTCCCTGCCGCTGACTGAAGCCACGAGCCACGTAACGTGCCTTGAAGACAGGCGGAGAACCCGGCGGTCGCTTCACCCTGAAAATCCACATGCCACTGACGATGTTCGCCCCAGGCGGGGGAACCTCGTCAACGTAGGTGCCTGTGGACTTCCAGGAAGCCATCTCTGTGTCCATAGCTGCCTGCCACTGAGAGGAGTAGGGACCCTCTATCGCCTCCGCGTAAGAGCGCGGAGTCGGGATGTCAAGTGCATCCGGGTCTCCCTCAGGGGTAAGCAGTACGGACACGAGATGAGGTGAAGC